GCTACCTGCTGCCCGTCCTGGACACCGCGTTCGTGCGGAGGAGCCACCGGGGCCGGGGCCTGGGCGTGGCCATGCTGCAGGACTTCTGCGGGACCTTCGGGGACGACGAGGCCCTCGGGGTCAGCTGGCCCATCTCTCCTGCCATGTACCGAGGTGAGCCTCTCACACACACACACACACACACACACACCCGTGTCCTGGAGACGCGTGTGGGCGCCGTCACGTCATTCCAGGTGGCACACGCGGCTGGCCTCTCCCTTCTGAGAACCCGCTCTTGACTTGAGCACAAAGGAGCCTGTGTCACCAGCAGGGCCCCTCTCCTCAGTCTGCAGGAGGTTCCTGCTGGCCCATCCGGAGGAGCGGGCGCGCCTGTGGGAGGTGGAGGCCCCGGGAGCCTGGGGCCAGCGAGGCAGCATCTGGCTGAAGGTCCAGCTCCAGCAGGCGGGGCCCCGGGGCCCGGAGTCGGCGTGAAGCGTGCGCGCGGGCCTCCTTACCCTCAGGTCTCCGCCGAAGCCCAGGTCCCTTTACAGGACGGAGTCAGCCCGCGGGGGCCGCCGGTGCTGGCCTCGTCCTCCCTCCCCCCTCCCTCCCTGAGTGAGCCAGACGCCCGCCCCCCGCGGCAGCCCCAGAGCGGATCGCTGCGACCCGGAAGCCATGAATGTCCTTGTCCAGCGGGAGAGTGGTTGGGACATGCTATTTCAGAAGACACGCAGGGTTGACTGCGAAGAGCTGGCCGCCTGCACCCCGTCCTCGGGGAGAATCAGAAAAAGGGCTTGGCCCAGCCCGCGCGGCTCACTGGTTGAGCTTCGATCTATGAACCAGAAGGTCACGGTTCGATTCCGGTGAAGGCACATGGCCAGGTTGTGGGCTCCATCATCCCCAGTAGGGGGCGTGCAGGGGGCAGCTGATCCACGATTCTCTCTCATCACCAATGCTTCTGTCCCTCCCTCTCCTATCCCCTCGGACATCAATAAAAAGATATATTTAAAAGGGGCGGGGGGGGGTGTGGAATCCCATAAACAGCATTCTGCAAACGCGGCGCTGGTCTTTCCATGGGCAGTGTGGGGTGACGTCGTGGGGAGGTGTCCTTGTCTACAGACTCACGCCCTGTCTTCAGTTTGGGGTGTTACCACGGAGATTGCCGGTGGGGTTCCCATGGGGGTGTTTGCCTGGTGGCTCCGACGGGAGGAGGGAGGGAAGGGAAGACCTTTAGCCAAAGGGCAGCGCAGGGCGGGACAGACGCACCCTCTGTGGGCCTCCCCGTTGCTTTTTGCCAGTATCCCTCCCGCCTCTCCCGCCTTGCAGGCTGTTACAGCTCAGCCCTAAAGGGGAGGCCCGGGGCAGGGTCGGATGGGTGCGGGGCCTCCAAGCTGCCGGTGTGGGGCTGCGGGGAGACTTGGGACGTGCTGATTAAACCCACTGGCCAAGGGAAAGCGTTGTGCCCTGTGCCCATGCCCGTCAGTATCAGAGCCACCCCCTGAGGCTGCGGGAGCTTGTTAGAGGCGGCGGCCGCTGAGGCCTGGCTCCGTCCCCCTCCCCCCCCCCCCCCCATTTCCCTCGGCCGGTGACAGAGCGCCTGGAGTTTATTGGTGATAATAGTGATCCTTTGGGCTTTTACGGGCCTTCCAGCGAGAAGGCTTAATGGGTCTTTACAGACGTGAATGGGGGAAGCAGGCACTTGGGAAGGAGGCCATGGCAGGGCTGTGGCTGGGATGCTAATGAGGCGGCTCCGAGGCTCGCCCTGTGGCATCGGGCGCTAGGCTGGCAGGCAGGCGAGCCTCCTGGAGCCCCCGCTGAGCTGGCTGCTGGGTTTGTGGGCAAATGAAACCCGCAGCCCGCAGCTGTCCAAGGTCGCAGTTCCTTGGAGCTGGGGGTGGAGGTGACTGATGGCTCGCTTATCCGGAATGGAAGCGTGGACACCGCGTAGGTGGAGGGGGCACAGGGCGAGGACGGATCTGCATAATGGGGAGATGGCGTCCTCTCAAGAGAATTGCATGGGGGTAGGCAGGTGTAGGGGCGGGAGGGGGAATCTGTTATTTCAGGATCCGAGTTGGCCCGGCCTGGCCAGCAAACCTAGCTGAAGTCATACACCAGAGCTGTCACTTTAACTCAGGCCGAGATTCACCAACTCCCTCTTTAAATCCGCAAATGAGGCGACTCTGACGGGGAATGTTCCAGAAGCACGCATGAGCCCTTGAAGGAAGAAGAGGCATCATTATAATCAGGGTGTAATCAGATTATAGAGGCTCTTCGTTAAAAAGGTTTTTAAGTTAAGGTCCTTCACTGCCTGTGAGATCAACGCTGGTTCCCAGTTCCCCCGGCTCGGCTCTGCCTCCCAGGGCCAGGAGGGTCTCAATTCACTCGGGGGGCGGGAGGAGGGGGTATTCGGCCCCCCAGCTTCACCCTGCAGCGGCTTTGTCCATCAGCGCTGACATTTCCGGGCCGTTGAGGTGGTGAGGGCCCAGACGCCCCGCACTTCCTCCCTCGTCGGCTTCTCCCTCCGTGGAAATGGGCGCGAGGAAGGAGCCCATGACACGATCCGTGGGTCGCCCAGCAGTGCAGACTCCGGGGTCTTCTCTTCCCGGAAACCATTAGACCACCCAGTGTGGTTTTAGTTTTTAACCAGTTTTTCTTGGAGTTGCTTTATTGACTTATTCTGGTCTCCCGGCTCTATCCTTTGTCCCTTTATCCCGGAGCGTGATTTTGGAGGTTCCTATGGTGTCCTGTGCCTTAGAAATAAGCAGGAAAACAGTGGAGCCAATAGTATTTTATTTTATTTTGAGAGCATGGAGGTGAGGGAGGAGAGAAACATCAATGGGAGAGAGACACATTGATTGGTTGCCTCTCGCACATGCTCTTGACCTACACACCCCAACCGGTGCTGGGGATCGAGCCTGCAACCCAGGTGTGCGACCTTGACCAGAATCAAACCCAAGGCCCTACTGTCCTAACCACTGAGACACACCAGCCAGGGCCCGATAGCTTTCTATATGGAAGTAAGGCTTGGCCATTCCTCGGCCTTCCAGAGGGAAACTGGTCTTCCCTCCAAATGCTCTCAACTCTGTTCCTGTTCCATTTGTGGACGGGGCTTTTAAAGTTTGCACGATCCCGCCTGTGGTAACATCTGGGGCTTATCATGGACGTGGAAGTATTTATGGGGTAATTCTGATCTTTTGAGAGGAGTTTGTGGGACATGTCTTTCTCACTACACTCGGTTGCCTACGAAGCCTTTGAAACTTGACCAATAGGATCATAACTCTGAGCTGGCACTCCCCGGCCAGCTGGCACATACGTAGGCTTCTCTACTCGGGGAGATGAAATTGAATATGCCAACAGTTGTTTTACAGAAACGTTGCTGGAGGCAGAAGGTAATTGCACACAGCTTTAAAAATTAATGTTTTCATTCTTGAGCTAACAGTTTTGCTTTTTTTTTTTTTCAGGTGAATTTTTAATAGATTCAATTGCCATCCACAGGGGAAATATTTTTCTGCCATTTATACCACATTTTTAAAGCTGGGGGGAGTGTATAAAGGACGTGTGGACCGCCTGAGCTGGGAGTGGGGCCATTTTCTTCATCTTGTCTCAGCTGGTCCTGGGGAGCTGGCTGGTACACAGTGCGACAGCAATAGCGATTTAATGGCAGATTTTCTGCTGGGAAGTGCGGAGAGCAACCTCCAGGCTGGATGGGTTTTCCTGTCTCATGCTGCTCTCTGGAAGGCTCTGTCTCCCTCTGGTGGCCATTGTAGCCCACTGCATCCTGCATGACAACTTGTGGTGTTTGCCATTGACCATTGGGTTGCTTCTCAGATTCTTAGCCTTGAGTTCAAATTTGTGCATTAAACACACACACACACACACACACACACCCATTAATGAACTTTCACTGGTTAGGAATAAAATGCAAGTGAGCATTTAACAGCAACTAATATACTTTAGTCCATAACCCAGAAAACCAATTTCATACATCAGGAAAGGTAGAAAAATGATACTGGGTGACCTACTTCATTCATTCACTCATATATTTGCTCATTCGTTCCATTGATTGCTGTTACTGGAGCACCTTCTGACACTAGGCATTGTCTGCAGTGACAGGGATGCATAGTGAGTAATGATTCTCATCGATGTTTCTTTCTTCCTTTTTACCTCTCAGAAATCAATACACACACACACACACATATACTCTGAGTGGCCAGATTATTATGATCTCTGAACGCATAATAATCTAGCCACTCTGTGTGTGTGTTAGAGGCCTGGTGCATGAATTCGTGCATGAGTAGGGTCGAGCCAACCTGGCCAGGGGGAGGGGCCAAGGGCAGTTGGCCAGCCTGCCTGTTGGGTAGGACTCCTGGTCAAGGGGACAATTTGCATATTAGCCTTTTATTGTATAGGATATACACTGAGTGGCAGGATTATTATGTGTTCAGAGGTCATCATAATCTGGCCACTCAATGTGTGTGTGTGTATGTGTGTTTGTAGAGGAAGGAAATTGACATATACAACATGAATTTACTTTAAGGACATTATGCTAAGTGAAATAAGCCAGTCACACAAAAAGCATTCTCCTTGTATGAGGTATCCACTCAAATTCATAGAAACAAAGTAGGAGGGGGCTGCCAGGGGCAGGAGGGAGGAATGGGAGTCACCGAGTTTAACAAGGACAGAGTTTCAGTTCGGCAAACCAGTGTGAATGTCCTTCCTGCTGCTGAACTGGACGTGTGAGAAATGGTTCACATGCATTGTATTATACATTGTGTATTATAATTAAAACGTGCTCTTTAATAGGGCTGTTATAAAATGCTTAGAACGTGGAGTGTACAAATTCATAGCTCTCATGTTCTTACCACCACTTCCCCAAGCATCACGGTGAGAGCCGCCCACCGTGAGGCCAAACTCCCAGCAAGACTGGGCGTCCCAGCACCGCCCCCCATTCCTCCATCAGCCTCCCCCGCCCTCACTTGAGGAATCAAAAAAAAAAAAAAAAAAAAAAAGGCAGCTTCACGCGCTTTCCCAATAGGTTTATTCCAGAGCAGTGCTGCAGCGATGCTGACTCAGAACCCCGTCCGTTTCTAAAACACGAATAACGGCTTCATCTCCCTCCCACAGGCAAAGGAACAGGAGCCGCTGCCCGGCTGTGCGTCTAGAGTCTAGACTGTCGAGGAATCCAGAACACGGAGCTGGAGCCGCGCCAGCCGGGCCGTGGCTCAGCCGCTCCCCGCGCTGCAGACGGGAAGGAAGGAGATGGAGTCTGCTGGGCCTGCAGCCCGGGCACGGGACTGTGGCTGTGGGTCTCCTCCCGGCCCCGCCGCTCCGCTCAGACCCCCTGAGCACCCGCAGCCGCCTCCGCACACAGCAGGGGGACTGGGGTCACCCGGCGTGGAGAGCGGCGAGCACCCGGAACCTCCCCACGGGACCTGCTCCACCTGCTGGAGCAGCCGAGCGAGGAGTTAACCCTGAGCCAGGGCCAAAGTCCTGCCACCGGGGCGTGTCCGGGCGTTACCCCGAAGCGGCCGACACGGATCCTTCAGGGACAACAGCGGCTCACGTGGACCCGGGCCTGCGTGTGCCGGGCACCGTGCTGCGTGCCGGCATTCCTCCTCATACCCACCCTGAGGTAGGTCAGCCCATTGTCCCCACGTGACAGGCTCCCGAGAGAAGCCACACAGGTGCCCAAGGTCTCAAAGCTACGAAGTGACAGAGGCTCAGGGGTCTGATGGACCTGAGCTTTGTTACCCCTGTACCCCAAATGGAAATTTGGAGGAAACCCAGCCACCACTGTGATCATCAAAGTGCCTGAAGGAGGGCGGGCTCACTCACCACTGCCAGAGCCCCAGCCAACACGCACCCCATTCCCCCAGGGGTGGGAGTGACAGCCTGGGACAGTCCCACGGCCCTGGTGCTGGTCCACTGGACATCTCCTGCTGTCCGTAAAGTGCCATCAGCAAAGCCAGGGGCTTGAGGGTGACTACAGCCCAGGAAAGGGCTGGCTATGGGGACGGGACCAGGTGACGTGCCCAGTGCCCTCCTGGCCCCACTCCCCGACCGGAGGCCACCCCGATCCTCTCCTCCCTCACGCCCTCCCGTCCTGTGCCTGCCCCTGCGCCCCGCTGGCGCCTGGGCCCAGGTCCTCGGGCCAGTACTGGTCCTGCATGTACTGCTCCACGTCCGGGCTGCTGTCGGGCTCCCTGTCCTCGGGGCACGCCCAGAGGCGGCTGGCCTCCTGCTCCCACGGCCCCTCCACCAGCCGGTACAGCTCCATGGCCGTCACGGCGTCTTCCACGGACGAGTGTCCGTGCCGGCCCACCTGCGGACGAGAGCCATGCGTCACTCCAGGCCAGACGGCAGGATGGCGGTGTCCACAGCGTGGGTGTTCCAGGCAGAAGCGCGGGAACCTCAGCCATGGCAAAGCCAGATTCTCGCTGGTTCCCTCAAATGTAAACGAGATAAAAATCGCCGCCCTGGGCTTGAAGAGCAGGGGGACATGGAGGCGACGGACAGCAGGAGCAAGAGTTAGGAGCTGCCCTACCCAAGGCTTCATCTCTGATTGCAAAGGCAGGCACCGAGCCTGGAGCTGGGGGGACAGACCCGGAACGGGGAGCCTGTAAGAGGTGTACCCCGGGAAGAAGGGGGCTGCGGAGGGACCCCCCAGTGCTCGTGGGGCCCCCCTGCAGAGGTTAGGCCTGCTTGCTTCCCCCCAACACACCAAACACACACAAGCACCTGGATTTTCTTGTGCAGCAGCTGCTGGGCCAGTTCCTTAAGCGAGACGCGGGCGCGGGTGTGCAGGCCGGGCTGGCTGAGGAGGCTGGGGACGTAGGTGGTGTCCCGGGTCTGGCTCCGAGGGTGCACGTACTTGAGGGCCTTGAAGTCATTGTGCAGGGCATGTCCCACCACCACCTTGCCCTTGAGGAGCTTGAGGATCTGTGGGCGGGGAGGGGAGTCAAGGAGGCCCCACTGTGGGCGGCCCAGCCCGGGGCGCAGATCCCCCTGGAGGGAGGCAGCGCGGACGGGGCAGCCAGGGGCTCAGTCTACCCCGCTGCCAAGTGCGAGTCCAGACCTGTACCAACTGCTTAAATAGACAGGGTCGCCCGGCCAGTGTGGCTCAGTGGTTGAACATCAACCTATGAATCAGTAGGTCATGGTTCGATTCCCGGTTAGGGCACATGCCCGGGGTTATGGGCTCGATCCCCAGTAGGGGGTGTGCAGGAGGCAGCTGATCCATGATTCTCTCTCATCATTGATGTTTCTGTCTTCTCTCCCTCGCTCTTCCTCTGAAATCAATAAAAAAATATTTTTTAAAAAATGCAAAATGTCCCAACATGACCGTTACATTAGAGCACGATTTGAGAACGTGTGATTTTACCCCTTGGGAAACACTAAGTGAATGCAGGAGGCCACACTCGGTGAGCTGAGCCTCCGGGGAAGGCACACCCCTCAGACACCCCCCAGGGAGCTCTGGTCACCTGTGTGAGGCCACAGCCACCTCACCTGTGTCCCCACTTCCCCTGTGATTTCAGGTGACTTCCTGGATCACTTCATCGAGAAACAAGCTCAGCCCCTCTGACAGCTGCTCCACGAGGAAGCTTCCGGTCTCTTTCAAGGTAAAGTGCCGCCCTTATTGGGTGCGTGTCGGTATTGGTTGTGTGCATGCATTTCTTAACCGTTTAACATTGCCAAACTGGGTACCGCTGTCCGGTGTGCAGGCCAGGCCTTTTTATTTTTGCTGCGTCGCTGTGACCTGTTTTGAGTGTTGTGTCCCTAACCCCATTTCCCCATAGTCTGAGGTTTTAGTGCCAGTTTACTCAGCATGATGAGGTTCAGGCCCACGCTCCAGAGCCTCCGCAGGCGTAGAGACCTAAGGAATCAGAATTCCCAGAGGGATCTGGGACAAGGAGCCGAGATTAGCAAGGCCTGAGTGTTCCTTATGGCGCGTCTGGGGATTCCTGGCACGTCAGATGGTCCCAACCATTCATTCATTTTTTTTCAAAGCCCTGAAAAAGGGACGTAAGGAAATATACCACAGTACTGACACCTGACGGGCAGCACTGTCTGTGGGCCTGAGGAATGTCGTAGCGATGTGATGCTTTTGTGAGAAAATGGAGAAGGTAAACAGCCTCACACCGCGCGGCTGGCACGGCTCTCCTCGGCGATCCGCATACACAGGTTGGACAGAGGAATCCCTTGTTTGGAGAAGTGAAACGTTCCCGAGCTCTCGCTTCCAGTGGCTCAGTGGTGACTCAAGCCCAGGGCCCGTTCCCACCCGTCCCCGACCCCGCAGGCGCCGCCGCCGGCCTCACCTCTTTCTGGGCCGCCGGGAAGGGGATGGCCTGGCGCATGTGCTGCCGGGTGATGCCGCTCCAGCGGGTGCGGTAGTCCACGATGGGCATCTCGGGCCGGATGTACTTGTCGTACAGGACGTCGCCATGGTAACTCACCACGGAGCAGCGGGCCAGCTCGCTCACCCGCCCGCAGGGCCCGGTGCCCACCATCTCGCAGTCGATAGCCACGCATCTGCTAGGCCAGGGCCCCGCGGGTTCCCTGGGGGAGGCCTTTCTGTGGCCCCGGGCACCTCCAGAGTCAGCCCTGGGGCCCTCGGTGCCTGGCGGTGCCTCCGGTGGCACGGGCGGTGGGGAGGGTGCTGGCTCCGGAGGGGAGCTCTGCAGCCCCTGCTCCTGCAGCAAGGCCTTGCGGGCCAGGAACCGCTGGTGCTGCCGGCTCTTCCGCTTGTGCTTTCTCCGAAGCACATCCTTGGCATTGGGGCCGGGCAGCAGGGGGCACAGGCACTGGGCAGGCTCCGGGGCTTCCCTGGATACCATCCCAACCTGCTGTCCGCTCAGGGCGCGGGAGGCCTCGGAGGTAACCTTCCAACGGGGCAGCTCCCTGGAGAGACAGCACAGGGCAGAGGGCCTGGGTGAGGATGGGCCAGCCACCCTGACTCCTTCCCTCCTGCAGTGTCTCCTGGGCTGAACCGAGGACTTATTTTATTAAGAACCGCCCTCATGCAGTCAATACCACATGCAAACCTTCCTATGGAATCACTCAGTCCTCCCACAACCTCAACAAAGTATGACTGTCCCCACCAGAGGCCCGGTGCACGAGTTCCTGCACCGATGGGGTCCAGCTGGCCTGCCCCAGTGAGGGCTGATGGGGCCTGGCCAGCAGTGGGGAGGGGGCACAGGGGGTTCGGTAGGCGCCTGCCTACAAGCACCTTCCTCCTGGTGACAAGGCGCACACTGGGCGGAGAAACACAGAACCCACCCCTCTGCCTCAGCCCGGACAAGGGGACAAGGCCTGCTGCAAGTCCAGACTGAGGCTGACCCCTGTGGGGCTGAGGGCGGAGGGTTGGGTCAGCGGCCTCGCAGCAAAGGCCCCACCAAGTCAGAGTCGCCTGGGGCAATCAGGGCCACCCACCTGCAGGCCGATCCCCGAGCCGGTGGGCGGTTCTAGGCCCCACTACTACAAGCAAGGTGCACCCTCAAGCCGGGGTTTGCTTACGAAACAGATGAACTAGTTAGACACGTTCCCAAAGCAGCTGGTGGCCGGAAACAACGCCCATGCCCAGACCTAGCCGCGCACCGTAACCGTCATTTGGAGGAAGGGGCCCCCCCTCCCCCCCACCCGGATCTGGGGGCTTCGGAGCGCGCGACCCCGCCCCCCAGCCAGGGTCCGACAATCGCCCGGATTTGGAGAACCTGCTGGATTGGACCCGAGATCCTAAAAAGTTCGCAGGACAAGGGAGTCCAGGGAGAGCCCGCCCCGTCCCCGCCGGCAGCCGGCGTCCTCCCCCCCACACCCCGCCCCCGGCCCGGGAGTGACGCGGAGGCCTGGCCACGCCCAGGGAAGGGCTCGGGCGTCGGTCACTCCCGGGCCGCGGCGGCCCAGCCCCCGCCAGGCCGCGGCCCATCGCCCACCGCCCACCGCCCCCTTAGGCTCCAGCCCCCGAGCCGCGCGGGGACCCGGACAGGCGGCGCCCAGGCCCGGCCTCCCACCCGCGGGCCCGGAGAGCCGGTCGGCCAGGTCGGCGCGCCCCCCTCCCCCCCGCCGCAGACCTGGGCGGACACACGCGGGGCCCCACGGCGGGGACTCGCCCCGCCGGCCCCAGAGGGTCCCGCGATCACCTGGAGCCGGCGCTTCCCCCGCCCGCACGTGGCGTCCGGACGGACGGCGACAGGTCCCACTTGCCCGGGCAAGCCCCGCTCCGCCGGCCCGCCGATTGGCTCGCTGAACTGCAGCTCCCGCCTAAGGCCTCTTTTGATTGGCTCTCTGGGAGAACATGGCTTTCTGCGGATTGGCGCACGATAGAAAAAGGGGCGGGGATTCCTGGAGGGGGCGTGGCTTGTGCCCCCGGCCGGCCGCGGCCGCGGGAAATTTTAAAAAGACCGGAGTGGAGTCTTTGCCCCTGGTCCTCGCCCATCTGGGTCCCCCGGCTCCAGTGCACCCCGCTCCCTGGGGCGGGACTTGGACTCCGATGAGCATTGTGGGACCGAAGGCAGGATAGGATGGCTTGCGGAGTCCACAATGCTACCTCCTCGGTTGTGAGCTTTCAGTGAAATAATATACAGGATGGGCACTAAAGAAAGAGTTTGCTCTTTCGGCGCTATTTTTCTTTTTTTAAAGTTTATCCTTTTGCAGTACTTAAAAGTTTTACTATGTGCTGAGCTCTCGGATACACAGGCTAGGATACACAGTGCCTACCTAGTTGCTCAGATCTGGGGCGGTAACAGCATGTTTAAAAGATAATTCAGTGCAACCCCGAAAATATTGAGAACAATAAAAAAACAGTTCACATTTATTGTGAGCACTGTGTGCCAGGCAATATATGAGATATGCACTATTGTTATTTCCGGTTTACAGCTAAGGAAACTGACACTTGGGATTAAGGAGAGCCCTGGCCAGTGTGCCTCAGTGGGTTGGGCGCCGTCCCATGCACTGAAAGTTGCCAGTTCCATTCCTGGTCAGGGCGCATCCCTGGGTTGTGGGCTTTCATAGGGAGAGGGAAGGAAAGGGGTGGGGGGTGTAGGCAGTGTTCTTGCTGGTTCCCACAAAGATCTTGGTGTCAGTATGTTGAATCCTTTTGCATCCACCGAATTCCTGTGGTGGGCCATCTCCTCTCTGGACAGGAACTGGTACTGCTGGTCCCTGCAATTTACTAAAATCGACGTGTTTGTGTGGGTCAGAAGTCCGGGTTCTGTGCTCAGGGTTTCTCAACACTGAGATCAAGATATCCCATGGCCTGCCCTGGTCTAGTATCTCAATTGGTTAGAACATCATCCCAATATACCAAGGTGTGGGTTTGACCCGGTCAGGACACATACAAGAATCAACCAATGAATGTATAAATAAGTAGAACAGCAAATCAATCTATCTCTCTCTCTTCCTTTCCCTCCCTCCCTCCATCCATCCCTCCCCCCTCTCCTCCTTCCCTTCCTCTTAAAAAAAAACCCCTCCATAGCCAACCTTTCCCCCCAGAAACTTGGGGCCTTCTTCCAGGCACAGTCATGCTATTGGCTGAATTCACTTTTTAAAAAAATATATATTTTATTGATTTTTTTTTTTTTTTACAGAGAGGAAGAGAGAGGGATAGAGAGTTAGAAACATCGATGAGAGAGAAACACTGATCAGCTGCCTCCTGCACACCCACTACTGGGAATGTGCCCGCAACCAAGGACCTGCATCGAACCCGGGACCCTTCAGTCCACAGGCCGACGCTCTATCCACTGAGCCAAACGGGTTTCGGCCTGAGATTCTGATTTAACTGGTCTGGGCGGGCCCAGAATTTAGCGATTGTCAAATTCAGATTATCCAGTTTGCTGCCAAGGTCAGGAAGCGCCTCTAAGGCGCAGTTACCTATACAGTCCACTAGAAGGAGCTGCTTCCCTGCTTTTTGGGGGGTAGGCGGATGTGATCGTGAAAAGATGACTGCTAGGTGAACCAGTTAATAATGTCTTTCTTATCGAAATCATCACTTTTAAAGCGTGTAAACCAGCGTTCACAAGGGTCTTGGGATGGAACATGTTCACCATAAGCTTCCCGAAGTATATGATCACTTTCAGCAGCACTTTTCTTCTAAATAAAGGAAGAATTAAAACTTCCTGCAAAAAAAAAAAAAATTAAAAAAAAAAAACTTCCCGCAAATGCCCTTTTTTGGCACGAAATGCAACATTTTTAAGCGTAAAAATATCTACGATGTTAACACCTTCAGAAAATTTGGCATGGGGAGTTTTGAAGCTTGTCGATACAACAAAACAGCACACATATCGAATTGCGTATATACCAACATATGTGTAACTCCATCTATTGGGAAAAAAAAAATCCGCATTATTAACCGGTGCACCTGGTAGAGCTGGTCCATCACTTAAGATGAGGGGTTACCAGGTGCCCTGACATCTGGTTTACCAACCCTTTTGTGTTCTGAGAATGTCTGTTTTGCTGATTGACCTAGTAAGCACAATCTCTCTTAAGCCTTGATTTCTGCATTTTTAAACCCGGGGGGAGACACGGGCTTGGCCTACATACATGAAGTCTTGTGAAATGCACAGGGTGCTGATGTGGACACGGAAAGGATAAGCCTTCCAATGGGATAAGACTCCGCTCTGACAGGGGAGGCGAATAGAGAGATGGTGGTTTTCATTCATTCCCACTTCATGGAAGGGTTGCCATGGGTGCCTCGAAGCTGTCAATCAGCTCAGTCACATCTCTGGGCCCGCCCCCTGAATTTCTGAAAATCACAGAAGAGGAGACAGACGATTATTGGGTTTGTACACATGCCGTCTCATATTATGACTCTCCTCTTAATTACCGTAGCGACCAGCATGATCGATGTGATGCCGTCCATTTCACACACGAGGAACCTGAGGCTCAGAGAGGTTAGGTGACTGGCCCAAAGTCACCCAGCCCGAGCCAGGACTGGAACCTAGGTGTGTCTGAGTTCAAAGCCAGGACTCCCTCTTCCCCAACTTGGCCTCCCCGGGAAGAGACCAGCTCCCTGTTTTACACCCTAGTTCATATCAACAGGGGCTCTCTTATCCATCTCTCCGGTCAGGAATGCACCCCCGTTTCCTTCCCAGGCGTGTCTCTGAGGCAGGATCTCTACCCCTTTGTCTGGATGCTGAGGGCTGCCTGGGAGACATGGCCCTGCCCTCCTGCTCCCCTCCTGCTCCCTTCCTGCTCATCCAGGCCCTTCTTCTCCCGGGAAGGGCGGACACCCGCTGACTCACACCAATTTGCAGTCTCCTCGAGTGCGAATGAGATTTCTGATGGGACCAGCTGCCTCCCCGCTGCAGGCAGGGCCTGCCGGGAGCAAAGAGGACACGTGAGAGGCAGGAAAGGGGGAAGCAGAGGGCCCGTTTGCTGGAGCGGAAGGAGCCATGAGGTGGCCACAGCAGCAGTGAAGGGCTGATTTGGCTCAGAGAGGTTGAGTGCCTGGCCAAAGGTCACACAGTGAGCAAGTGATACCAGCTCAGCTCCTGGTTGCAGTTTTAGGGTTCCCGTAAGGTAGGGGTGTCGAACTCAATCAGAGAAGGGGCCAAAATCTAAAATCCAGCCTAAATCTCGGGCCGGATGGTTTACTGAACAGTCATAAACTGTCATTGTGATGGAAACGCAGCGGAGTGCAGTGATGACAGTGCGGTGCGGGCCACATTGCAAGGCCTGGCGGGACGGATTTGGCCCGCGGGCCTTGTGTTTGACACATGTGCCGTAAGGAATACAACTCCCAAGCAAGTTAGATTTATAAAAGGTTTATTGTTCTGTTTTTTTGTGTGTGTGTTTTTAACTTTTTTTATTTTATTGATTGATCGATGGATGCATTAGTGTTCTAAAGGAAAGACTTCCCCTGACTTCTCTGCCTCTGGATCGGCTGCTGATCGGCCCTTCCCTTCCCTGGCCTCGGGGCCCCTGGGGCGCCTTGTGCCCGGCATGCGGGCGGAGGGGACTGGGAAAGGGGCGAAGAGGGCATTTGACTTCGTTGCTTGAAAACCGTGTCCCTGGAGGGCCTCCTCCCTGGGTCTTGACGACCGCCCTTTGCAAGGGGATCGCTGCTTCCGCCCACCCCAGCTTTCCCTCCGGGCTCCAGGCAGATTCCAGAGCCAAGACGTTCCCTCTGCACACGTCCCCTCCCAGCCCGGGTGGAGGCGCCAGGGCAGCTCCAGGCCGGTGTGTGCTCCCTGCCGGCGCTCGGGCACCCAGCACCCCAGCGTGTCCTTCAGGGGCCCGCACAGCCGTCCCTCCTGCCAGCCAGACCCCCAGCCCCGGAGTGCGGGCTCCAGGGCCCCTCGTACTGGGGGTGCCCAACCCCAGCCGGCTGTTGGGCAAATCAGTGAGTCACTGAGGGGAGAGCCCCCACTCCCCCAGTCCCAGGCTCTCCACTCACACCCCCTCTGCCCTTGTTTCTGGGAGATGCCCCCGGCGTGCTGCCCAGGGGCGTCCAGGGCGGTGTTTTCTAGGAGACAGAGAAGGGAGGGAACCAGCCAGGACCGGCGGGCACCCCACTGCTGCCAGGGCCTGCACCGTGCGGCAGACTGGGACTTGTTGCTGATGCAGCGAGACAACAACAAAATCACTAGTCTTCCACACGGGGCCGGCCGGCCGGGCGCCCGCTGCTGCCCAGAGGCGCTGGGACCGGGGCCCTGCCCGTCCCCCAGGCCGGCCACCCACCCACGCCCCCACCGCCCGGTCCATCTACCCCACCCCCACCCCCACCCCGATTTCTCTACCGCCTCTGCTCAGGCGAGGAGTTCTTTGATTTTTTTTCCAGAGTTTAACATACTTTTTTTTTTTTTTTTTAATTGATTTCAGAGAAGAAGGGTGAGGGAGAGAGAGAGAGAAACATCAATGATGAGAGATGAGAGAGAATCACGGACCGGATCATCTGCCTCCTGCACGCCCCCCCCTCCAGTGGGGGGGATCGAGCCCACAACCGGGCCTGTGCCCTGACTGGGAATCCAAATGTGACCTTCCCGTTCCTAGGCCCACGCTCCCTTCCTTTAGTAAGGAGACCTCACTGTGGAAAGGAGGCAGGTGGGTGACTCGTTTCCCACGTTTCTTCACTGATGGTAAAGGGCCGACCATCACCG